CTGTGTGTCCGTCAGTGCGTCCGTGTGTCCGTCAGTGCGTGTCTGTGTGTCCGTCAGTGCGTCCGTGTGTCCGTCAGTGCGTGTCTGTGTGTCCGTCAGTGCGTCCGTGTGTCCGTCAGTGCGTGTCTGTGTGTCCGTCAGTGCGTGTCTGCGTGTCTGTCAGTGCGTGTCCGTCAGTGTGTGTCCATGTGTCCATCAGTGTGTGTCCATCAGTGTGTGTCTGCCACTGTGTGTGTCCGCGTGTCCGTTATTGTGCCCACTATTGTGTGTCCCTGTGCCCGTCAGTGTGTGTCTCTGTATCCGTGTGTGTGTCTGTGTGCCTGTCAGGATGTCTCTGTGTGTGTCCATGTGTCTGTCCGTGTGTGTCCATGTCTTTCTGTGTGTCAGTGTGCCTGCCCGTGTGCGTGTCCTATACGTGTCCATGTGTCTGTCTGTGCATCTGTCATTGTGTCTGTCCGTGTGCCAGTCAGTGTCCATGTGTCTGTTTGCATGTGTCTCTCAGTGTGTGTCCGTGTGTGTCCGTTTGTGTCCCTGTGTGTCCGTCAGTGTGTCCCCGTGTGTGTCCATCAGTGTGTGTCCATGTGTCCGTGCACCCCCCCAGCAGCACAACTCACTCACACCCCGGTTCGGTTACTCACGGGCTGCAGAGGAGAGGAGCCACCTCATCTTCCAGCACTACTTCATCCCATGGAATTCAGACATCCTTGAGGATTCCTTCACGTGCAGCCCTGCCGTGGTTTTGCTTTCCTGCTGAGCACGGAGTGATGTGGTGGTTGGGTCAGACAGGTCACTCCTGAGGCTGTTACAGAACCCAGATTCAGTGGTAACTAAGACTGGTCTGACACGGAGCAGAACATTTAGGCACAATCTCACCTTCTCTCCACGTTTTCACCTGTGAAGTGCCACATTCTAGGTCTTATTCTCTACCACTAAATTCTCTGGCCCAAAATATTTATGTTAGTCCAAGCTTTGTACTATAATAGTAAAAAATTAGATAATGGGGATTCCTAAGCAGAGGAGGACTCCAACTCCAGCAAGGGATACCAACAGGAGACACTGTACATGCAGGATCCAAATTATCTTTTGCCTCTGGAACGGACACAGTTCTGATATGCCCATTGCACTTACACAAGGAATTACTGCACAGTAGCTCTTGTATTTTAGAGACACTCTTCCTGCCCCACACATAACCCACATGGTCAAGATTATCAAGATTATTACTTGCTGTTATGCCTATTTATCCCCAGGACCCAAGGCACAGCCAAAAGCTTTCTGCAGGTTGCAGGGGCAAGGATGGGGTTCTCCTCACCAGACTCAATCTTAAATTTGGGAGCCTCATTTGACCCAGGGTCCATCTGTAACCACAGGTTAAAAGAGAGGGGCCTCCAGAGAAAGATTTGTCCCAGGATAATAAGGTGCTGCATCCAACAGCAGAGGCCTGTCTGAGGGGGACAGGCACCATTATACATAAACCAGTGCAACTGGGACCTGACAGCACTCCCTGAGCACCCGTTTGATTCAGCAAATTGTTCCTATAAATCCCACCCACCATCTTCAAAGGCCTCCTGGAAGCTGATTGCCAGCACTGTGGCAGCATGGAAAAGGCTCGACATGAGTAAAGCTGACAGGAGGGAAAATAAAAGGAGAGGATTCAGGGAAAACATGACACAAAACAACAGCAAACCCCGAGACACAAGTGTAACCTCGGAGAAGAGGAAAGATACTCAGAGAAAACAACATTTTCAAGCATAATTACCCACTGAGTAGGCTCTGGGCTCGTCAGAGAAGAGGCCACACGTTGTTGTATACTCAGATCTCACTTAGCACACGAGAAATCCTGACCTGAATATTACTGCAATGCAAATTCCAAACCTGCTCTGGATCCTCATGCTCCTGCCTGGTTCCTGGGGAAGGAGCTGTCGGCCCTGGAGATGGAGCTTCAATCTTTCAGCTAATCTAAGTTTATCTTAGGATTTATGTTTGATTCCACACTCATCTAAGTAATGGAGCAGTTAACTGGTGATGTGCTGTGCATGAACTGCAAAGAGAGAAACACAAGCAGCAGGAATTGCTTTCTGCATCCCTCAAATATGGTAATGAGGGTTTAAAATTTTATAAGATACTTGAATGCAATTTTTCCAGGGCCTTCCCTCACTGTGTTTAGTCAGACTTAGGCTGCAGTACAAAAATGGTGTTGAATGTTAAACCTGTCATACCTGCCTCCAAGAAATGCTTGTTTCAGGATCCAGGCTCCTGCCCCACTCTCCTCTTGCTTTAAAAGCCACATAGCCACAGAACAGGGAAGTAAGACCAGACTCTAAGGTTCACACTCCCAACTCTGAACTACAGACACATTGTGAAGCATCTCAGCACTGCAACAGCCTTATGAATAAATCAAGATCTACTTTAATTTAAAACACAAGTGCAAAGGATTCACAACTACAGACCAGCAGGAGTGTTTGTTTCAAATTATAAATCTTTTCCAAGCCCTGCTCTTTTGCATAAAAAAAAGAGTAATATATCTGTAATACATAAACATTTTAAGTCAAAAATTTTCCAGTGCAGCTAAGGAGGAGCTAAATGAATTAATTTCAATCAACTCCATCAGCCCCAAACTTAGACATCCAGTCTAGGCAAACCCCCTGTGACCCCTCTACCTGCCACAGGTGAGGGAGAGAGTGATTTCATCCTTCAGCAGGTGTCTGAGAACACCCTCCACAGGTGTTCCCTCCCCACAGATACAGAGCCAACCTACACGCTCCACAGACTGGGCGCCCACCCTGTGATGGCATCAGTGCAGATCAATTCCGTCCCAAATTACTTCAAGTAATCAACTGTGGCTTCAATTTTGAAGCAGGATCTGTAACTGGAGCAAATAGCAGAGGACAGAGATTATGAACATCTTCTGAAGAAAATGCAGTTCTGAGGTTAGTTTCTGGCACAGAAGGACTGTCCCGAGAATAACTTAAATTCCAGTACATTTGCATGTGGAGTTTCAAAACAAAATCCCAGTTCCACATGCAAGAGCATATTCTTGAGACCTCACAACAACACACACCGTCACTGTACAATGCTAATCCTGACCTAGAGTCCAATTACCTTGAGGATCTCACTGACCAGAGAGTGTAGCACACAAAATACCTAAAACTGTGTTAAAAGAACTCAAAGAGCTGTTTAGACAACCAGAAACCTTTCAGATGCCAAGGCCTGGTGGGGAAGGGCAGACCAACAACCAGACAGCAGAGGTGTCTCCCCACGTCCTGCAGCAGCCGCAGGGAGATGGAGGTTGGACAAACACCTCCCACGAACACAGAGATCAATCCTGGGATGTGCAGCACAGCTCAAACTTTTCCATTCTGTCTCCTACAGCATCCCCAAAATGCTACCCAACAACTGCCTCAGGGCAGCATTTCTCAGCCTCTCCTGGGAGAAGGAGCTGGGAAAGAAAGGCCCCTGGAAAGCAGCCCCAGGAGCAGGCTGCTCACACCCCAGCCAGCACCAGAGGTCTTGCACGTGGTGAACTGTCAAGCACAAGGACCTGGTGGTGGGAGCACCTGGTCTTCACAGAGTCCACTTGGAGGCCTGTGTTCAAGGGTTTCCAGAAGCTTAAAATCATGAAATGGATTCAAGATTGACCACTAAACCATACACATTCCGCAGCAAAAGAGAAGCCTGTTGATGCAAGAGAGCCACTTAGAAACAAATATATACATATCACATCACTCCCGAGGGAAGTGTGGGCAGGTTTCCAGGTCCACATTTAACCCAAGGAAATTAAAATCGTCTGTGAAAAAGTCTCAGAGGAAAAAAATTCAAGTCTTTGTGCATTGTTTGACAGTTTAAAGGGGTCTGTGCCCCAAAATGAGTCAGCACAGGACTCCAGTGTAGAATGAAGGAAGCAAAGATCACATTTCTGACTGGGAAACATCACTCCAGTTCAGTGGTCAGCAGCCAAGGTGTGCAGAAACTCACAGACATTCAGATACACAACTTCAGACTCCGCTTCAAACGCCATCCTCCGGCAGCAGTGATTCCCAAGGCATGGAATACCCGCTTTATCCTTGGTCTCACCTGGATCTAGTCTGTATTGATTGTCTTCAGCAAAGGAGAAGCCCCAGAAGGCTGCAAATGCAGGGACAGGATTCAGACTCATCCTCTAAAACCATCGCTGACAAGTTCCAAGCACCATTCACAGGATGAAACCACCTGGGCTCTTCATTTTCTAGATTTCTTTTTTTTATAAACATTCCTTTTTCCCCACAATTTCCCCTCAGGCAGAGTCAGCAGGTGGAGGTGCGCTTCCTGTACTGTTGGATAAGGGGCACCAAACACTCTGGAAGTCCTGTCTGGAGCAAAAAGGGATGATCCAGAAGTTCTTGTGCTGTTGCTCTTTCCAAGGGATCCCGTGTCAACATCCTTTCCAAGAAGTCTCTCAGAACTGGGGAGGTCTGTGAAAAAGCAACCAACCAAGTCAACCCTGCAAAGCCACCAGGCACAGCTCATGTAACACCAGGCTGCCCAGGTGGGCTTGGTTAAAGGGATCCTGCACCTTCCCCCTCTGTATCCCTGTTTTCCCAGTAATGTGACATGGATGTCACACTTTTCATGTTAGGGACATAACCTTCTGTCACTGGTAGGCACAACACTTACACAGGTTGTTTTCTTTCCAATGGGCCACAGCCAATTAAGATCAGCCTGCCTGGAGTGTCCTTCCATCCAGATCACTCCTGTTTCCCATTTCATTATTTTCTGCAGTTCAGCTCAATAATTCAGCAAGATTCCTGTTACCTGAGCACATCCCTTGGGTGGGAAGGTGCCTCAATTCATTCTTTTACTGGTCACAGATTGTGGAAAAAGTAGTTCAATAAGATTCCCAAATTGGTTTTGAGAGTCTGGAACCCTCATGCTGCTGGTGTAAGAAGGTGAAAAAGCTGCAGAACAGGTACCAAAAAGCTGAATGACCTCCCAGGTTTGTCCTTTGGAAGAGCTGTAAAAGCCTGGAGTAGCCAGCCCCAAGCACCACTTCCAGGCCCTGCACATCTCCTGCTGGTTTAATCCTCTGCATCGTTAAAACGGAATAAAAAATGAACTTGGCTTATATTTATTTATTTAAATGCTGTTAATGACATCCAGTTTAGGTTGGGGGCATTTTCCCAGCTCTGGCTCACTTAGAACATGAAATCCTGTTCACACTGAGCTACTGTTTATTTCAGGAGCCCTTTGGATGGGATCGCTGGGATCGCTGGAGGTAGAAGGCATCGCCCAGCTCAGGACGAGTGCTGGGATCCAGCCTGTATCCCTGCCAGGGACTCTGCCCGTGCCTTAGCAAAGCAGCAGGGACCATCCCAGTGACACCCCTTGAACCTGGTCCACCAGTACTTCAGTCACTGACCACAGGAAGTCAGGGACTGGCACCAGGATGGAGGGCTGAGTTCCCCCAGGACACAGGGCAAGATGGCCCCTGGCCTGCGACCCAGAGATCTGCTGGAAGCCAGGCTGCTTCCTGGGATAACCGGAGCGGAGCAAGACTATGATCAGCTCTGGCTGTCACAGCCAGACAGCAGGGCCATGTCACCAAGTCAGGTGTGACCCAGACCAGGTTGGCTTTACGCTGCCCAAGGAGGGCGAGCACTGGGTCCAGAACGTGACCATTACATTTTAATTAGTGTTGCAAAGGCGAAGAGGAGAGAGCAGCTGTTGATGTTAGTTCAGCAGTCTACTCTGTTAAATAATTCAGTTTTAGCAGCTGCAGATCCTCTGATTAACTGGAAAGGCTGGGTAGCTCAGGATGCTGCAGAAGCTGTTTGATCTCACAGGCTCAGCCTGGAATGAAAGGATTGCTCCAAGTGGGGACTGAAAGGTGATCACTGTTTCTTATGCCACTGCTACTTTTTCCTAAAAACCCATGAAGCCAAGTTCATCTTCAGAGCAGCTGCAGAGTCTCCACGAGCTCCTGTGTGTCCTGAGTTCTGCTGCTCTGACAATAACACAGTCTTTGCAGTCCTGAAGGCCGCAAAGCTGGAAACTCCTGAGGATCCTCCTGTTTCCTTCCCTGGAAGATGAGCTACTCTATCGACATCAGCAAGCTGGAAACTGCTGGGTCCAGCCAAGGCAGCTCTGATTTGCAGTCTCCATTTATGCCCAGGTGCCCTTACACTGTCAGTGCTATTCCCCACACAGCCACCAGCTGTCAGCAGCAGCCACCGAGGGCCCGGGGCCAAAGCACTTCCCAGGGAACGTCCTAGCAAGACCATTTCCACAGCCAGCTGTTCTGGGAACAGCTGATATGGATGTTCCCCTGTGATAACCATCAGGTGTACAAGTGTTTGCCAGCATTCTCACCCTGTGGAAGTTCTTCAGTTTGGGAGGAGGACTGTCTCGGAGTCTCTTCATTGCCTGGACTGGAGAATCACTAAAGTAGGGGGGTTCTCCATCCACCATCTCTATCACCATGATCCCCAGGGACCAGATATCCACCTATGGGAGCCAATGGCACATCAACACACACAGTTCAGAGCAGCAGGTCCTTGCTGTGTTGCTTTCACCAAGGCTGCAACACTCCACCCATGACAAATGGTACCAAGTCAAAACACTGACCCCTTGATGCTCTCGGGCTCCTTACAGCAGTTTAACAAAGTCAGTTTTGCACCCAGGACTGAGCATCAGTGGTGTTGCAACATGTAAAGGTCTGCAAGTAACTGCCTGTGCTACACCTGGTTCCTTGGTAAACAAAACTCATTAGTCTGCTGCCACCTGCCCGGAATTCCAGAGCTCCCATCCCTGCCTTCCCTGAGGTGAGCCCCTCGGAGCTCACATCTCCTCCCCTCCCTTTCTGGCACCCATTTACTGATCTCTATCGTGTCACAGGCTGCTCCTTGCTCCCATCTGTCCACAGCTGGTATAAATCTAGGCCAAGCTTCAGGTGTAAGAATAGAATAAGTTTATGCCTCTTTCCTGGAAGCAGAACAATCTGTTTTTCTACTGACTTTGAAAATATTGCCATCATCACAATCAAATCTGTAGTCACGCTTGGCTTTGTTTTAAATAGAGTCTAGAGGCTCTTCCTAGAAAAGCCAACAGTTATTTTCCTGTGACACTTGAGAATATTATTTGCTCCCTCTCCTGATATTAGGGAGGTGTCCCTTACCTCGGTGGTGTATGGTATCCTGGCAATGACTTCTGGAGCCATCCAGTAGGGAGTGCCCACCAGGGACTTTCTCTTGGGTACATCTTTACTGATCTGAGCACAGAAGCCAAAATCTGAGAGTTTGACCTGTACAAAGAGAAAAGCAACCAACCTTAGAAATCAACCTTAGACAACACAGAGGGAACAGCACAGAAAAAGACATCAAATGGAGTAAGAGGATGAGCTGCAAACAAGGGATTGGGAACAGAAAGGAAGCAAGAGAGAAAGGCTGCAGCAGCAGAAGACAGGAAACAGTCTGTCTGAGGACACATACCCTGCCATCCAGCGTGAGAAGGATGGAGTCACTCTTGATGTCCCGGTGAATGACCCCCTGGGCATGGAGGTAGGACAGAGCCTGCAGCACCGACTCACACACCGTGGCAATCTGCTCCTCGTTCAGCCTGCAATCAGGGACAGGGGAGCTCAGCTGGGCAGGGACAGGGCTCGGCCACAAGGGCACGGTGCAATTCTCAAGTTAAATCACAGGTATTTGGTTCCCTATGGCCTTTACTATCTCACCTTCACCACTCTTCTATGTCTGCTACTGGTGGAAAACAGCTTTGACTTGATGGCTGGCAACTTTAAGTTTTTGTAGGTTTAATACAGAGAACTTGTATTTTAAATCCTGTATCTCAGTTCACTCTGCAAGATGCTGTTTCAAGCAGTTCTGACAGGCAGCAGTGCTGCTCGATGCCAAGGTGCTGCAGTAACTGGTGAGACAGCTCTTTTTAAAGCAAATATGGTAAAGCCATTGTTCACAAGGTTTATTGTGCAACCCTATCCAGAAAACATCTAAACACATTCTCTGATAGCAAATACAGGGATCCTTTGGGTTTTCCTGCACATACCTAGGGTACACTCACACCTAACTAGAGGCAGCACAGGTTACAAGCAGAGAAGACCCTCCTGATTTCCACCACTCTCTGTTAGCACATGGAATATGAGCACCAAGAACCTCACCTTTAGGTTTAGATAACAAGAGGTGCACTTTCAGCCTGTCATGGATGGACTTTGGTTTCAGTCAAGTGTCTGCACAGTGTAAAACACATTACTGGAGAATTACCTTACTCCTGGAGATGCAAATCACTTATCCCCCTCAGTAAATGTTTAGTGACTGGAATGAGGGTATTTTCTTCCCTGGGAAAAACTGCTAACGGTTTACTTCTGATAAATGTTATGGTTAGAACAGATCCTGTTTCCACCATGTGAAAAAACAAGCATTCATTAACAGGTTCAAAGGAAGCTTCATAAAACCAATCTAGGCTGAGGTCCCACAATGGAATTCAGACTGACTGCTGGATATAAACACACGGGCCCTTCACAAACCTCTTCAGCAATTTTTATCTGTAATCCCAATGCCATCTAAGAGCTACAGGAGTTTCACAGGCTCTGCAATGTTGTAACTCCTCAGGATTGAGTTGGTTCTCAGACACTGACATGTGTCTCTGAACTCGGTGCTGGAGGGCCAGCCCAGCTGTCTCCAGGACACTCCTTCCAGGTGGAGGCTACAGAGGACAATGTGGCTTTTCACACCTCCCAAACACATCACAGATGTGCTTCCAAAACACAGAATCCAACAGAGCAACATATATGCCTTAAATCCACCACAGGATCTAGTCTGAGCACATGAGTGAACCAAGGGTATACTATGATTTTTTAAAAAAACAAATACAATTAGTGTTAGCAATACTGCCTAATCATAACCAACTAAGATTCTGAATCTTCAAAAAGGAAAAGCTCATCCTACAGACTTTCCTGGTCAGTCTTTCCATTGTTATTCCCTGCACCAGTTTCCAGCCTTGCAGGACTGCTGGGAGGGTGGGAGGAGGGTGCTCCAGGCCATGGGTGGACCCCAAGGGCCATCTAAGAACAACTCCTCTGCCCTACAGAAATACTTTGGGCATTAATGAATATCAAGTGGTGTGGATAAGGAAACAAATTTAGGAGAGTGTCCGGTAGCTGCTATCTTTAGGCAGTGAAATTTGGGAAGGAGTCCAAATCTCAAGGCTCTGCTGCACTTTTCCAGAGGAGTTAGTGAGGTTGAATTTGTGGCTAAGGTTGCACCACTGAAAACTATCTCTGCATGCTCTTTAATACTTATTCAATGAACTTCCTGGCCAGGATTCAACAAATATAGTAAACAGTGGTTTTTTTATGAGTGCAGTGTTTTGCAGGGAAGGTCATCAAGGAGATGAACAGTGGGTACCTAAAGGGATCAGTACTGTGAAGGAGGTTCCTTCTATACCAGAAGTATTATCACATAATTCAAATGGATAACAGTTACAAAGTGTAGCAGTTTCAGGGCACAACAAACACAAGGTCTCAGAGGGAAACTACTCTTCCCAGAAATCCCCACTCTGTTCTTGCTCTCAGGTGTTGATGTTCTTGATTTTGCTTCGTACCTGATTTGAGACACAATGTCTGTGAGGGCTCCCCCCTGCAGGAACTCCATCAGTACCCAGAGCTCCTCTCCCACGAGGTAGCTCTTGTACATCTCCACGACATTGACGTGCTGATAGTCCCTCATTATCACCACCTGGAAATCCACAGGGAGCAAGTGACCACCACAACAGCACTCACAGCACCCGACCCTCCCCAGCCAAGCAGGACTCACAGCCCCATGTATGGCAGTCCAGTGCAGAGCCCCCATCCCCCAGCAGTAATCCTTGGTACAAGCATAATCCTACTCAAAGGGAGATGGTCCCGCTCCTCCCTGTTTGCCATGCTGGCTGTTCCCCCAGCCACGCCCTCCCTCACCTCGTTGAAGAGGAGCTCCCGGCGCTGCTGCTTCCTCAGGTCCATCATTTTCACGGCCACCTGGCGCCCCGAGTGCTTCTCCCGCGCGATGCACACGATGCCCGTGGAGCCCTCCCCGATCTTGACGTAGTTCTCCAGCATCGCCCGCGGATCCCCCTGGTCCACGACCATCCTCAGGGCAGCTTTGAACTGCTCGTGGGTCACCACCACGGGGTCCTCGCCGGCCGGCTGCCCCTTCCCAGCGGAGTCCGGGGGCAGGTGGAGGTTGCTGGAGCTGGTCTGGGTGTGCCGGCTGCGGGGGGACCCGGCTGGCGAGGGCCGGCTCAAGGGCACTGCCGCCGCCTTCTCCACTGGCGGGGACTTCTGGGGGGTCTCGGCTTCCGAGACCCCCCTGGGGAAATCGGAGGCGGGCGGATCTGGCGGGAGAGACTGGGCTTTGGCTGCGGGGCTGCGCGGGGAGCCCCACTGCTGGGGCCTGAAGAAAGCGTTAGGCTGCCAGAGGAACAAAGGGGAAAGGGGGAAAAACAAAAAGGCATGGTTGGGTTAACAAGCAGAAAGGTCAGGAATCAGTTTTGTGTCATTCCACTCTGCCCTAGCACAACCTGGAGCTGATTGGAGTCAAGAGCTCCAGGTCTGCCCAACACATGCTTGGATGAAGATCTGCTTGGATGCAGATCTTCAGGAACTCCTTAGGGAATGGGTGCTACACTTCAGGGACCTCTGAACTGAAGCAGTTTAAAGGGAACCTTTTAAAGCACATGCTTTAAAAAAACCACCAAGACCCAAAACCCACAGAAAAAAACCCAGCTGCTAAAAAAGCATTCCAACCTCGCCACCAGAACTCAGGGGCAACCTGTGCTGCAGAGAATTTGAAAATCCTTTATCCCTCTGTGCCTCTGATCTTCCTCTGTATAAAAGGAAAGAGGATTCATGCCAAGGCTGTAAATCACTTTGATGTCTTGGCCTAATTCCCTTGGGGTAATTACACTCTGCCTATTGAAAACTCTCTCTGCACTTTCCACTGGTACCTGCAGAGCATTCCTGTCGATCAGGCACAGAACTAGCCCTCTGCTTTGGGAAAAGCACTGGGATCCAGGCCAGCTGGAGACAGCCAGCCTGAGACTCCAGCTACCCAGAGCCACCTGCCACCTTGGCAGCTCCAAAGTGACCGACCGTGAATTTGGAGGTTTTTGGAGACATCCCACTCCAGTGCCACACAGGCCCACCCCTGTTCAGTGTAGTGACATCACAGCCCATGGGAACGTGGCTTTGGGATACACGTTCCCATGCGACCACTACACATGGGTCTCCCAAGAAGGATAAACCTTGTCATGCTCATACTCCTCCTGAAAATGTTGATTAATTAAAATGCGACATCTAGCAGGTGGGGTATAAAATACATTATATACTTACATGTGTATATGTAAAATATACATAATATATGTATACAAACACATGCAAAATAATAGTGGAGCTGTTTCAGAATGAGCAAGCCAATCATTTGTATTATAGGGCAAAATTACTTCAAAGCAAAAAGCATTTTCTCTCTCACAATTCAGAGAGATTATTAATAAAGTTAATATGAGAATGGAAACCAAAAACTGCCAATACAGACTTTTTTAGAAGAGGACTCTTTTCCCCATCTCAGACAGGAAATAATTGTATAGGATTTAATTCCATGCACTTTGGGTTTTAATCGAGGATTTTTGTCAATAGCAGGACCTGCATAAGCCTCACAAACACACAGGACTCACTTTCACACACACACAGGCCCTGGACAACACCAGTTAGTGGCATCAGGCACAGCACAAACACAAGTGGATGTCAGGAGCTCCTTCCTCCCTGAGTGCCAGCTCCACCCCTGCACTCCTGTGCTGACACGCTCACAGCAACACAGCATTTATTTTCCAAATCTCATTTTGTCTCAGGAGAGAGAATCCAAAAAGGTTTTCTGTAACCCTGAGCGTGCAGGAGGGGCACACAGCACACGTGCAGGCTCACACAGGTGTGTTATCTCCTGCTCCCACAGCTGACAGCCCAGTGGACACATCCTCAGTCCTGGGACACTGTGAGGTGTCACTGGTTCTCTCACTCCTGTCTCCCACAGTGGGTTTAAAGGAAGGTTCACTCAACCTTCCCATGTGCCTGTTATGGCACCCACCTCCTAGAAAAGTGGTGGATGCTCTGTCCCATCCCTGGACATGTCCAAGGCCAGGTTGGACAGGGCTTGGAGCAACCCGGTCTCGTGGAAGGTGTCCCTGCCCATGGCAGGGGGTGGAACAAGATGAGCTTTAAGGTCCCTTCGACACAAACCATTCTGGGATTCCATGGTTCAGTGGTATCCCTATCCCTTTCACCTGTAGTTACACACTTCTCACACATCATCACCTCCACCTGAGAGGGAGACTCACATTGTCACCACCGGAGGCTGCTACGAACACATCAGATAAACAACTCCCAGCTATGGCACAGATCCTTCCCTGGAGCAGGGAGATGGACTACATAGCCCCAAGGTCTTCCCTGCTCCTCTCCTCTGACAAATACCTGGAGTTCAAATGCACCCAAGCACATCCATTTAGCTGGGAACCTCTGCTCCTGCTGAGGATGGCAAAGACACTCTGGCTAGGGAAGACACAAGTGGCCAGTTCTAGGTACTCCAGCCAGTGTAGATGAGCCCAGAGTCACTGAGACAGCAATAAGTGCAGCTTATGCTACACAAGAACTGCATTCCTTGAGAATCCCACTACCTTGGAAAGGAAATCCACTGTGCCCAAAGCCTTGAGCCTGATCCTTATGCAAACTGCAAGAAGCAGGTTGGAGACATCCCCTGTCCCTGCAACACACTACAGAAGAGTCAGTTTGGTTGGGATGGTGGTTCCTGTCATTATCCTCCCAGTTCAGGGACTCTGGAGCTGCTGCAAATTAGCCTGGCCCAATCCCAGCCCAGCCCAGCCTTTGAAGGCAGCGGCCAAGCCATGGGAAGTTGATGGGTGCTGGGTCAGCCTGGGAAGGAAGAGCAGCAGTGGCTGCATTTCCTATCCAGATCCAGAGATCTTCTCCCAGTTCAACACAAAGTGAGTCATCCATTCAGGACAGCTTTCCTGGGGGAGCTGTAGCCATGAGTTGTCCCGCCCTTTCCAGCAGCCAGCATTTCCTGTGTGACAGCACCGTGGGTGCCAGTGCAAACCCTGACAGATACAGCTACACTCAGCCCACTCTCCGAGGCAGTTCTGGTTTGCACAGGCAGAAGAACACATTACTAATGGAAGCCACAGCCATTTCCCAAATGGCAAAGGCTCCCTGATGCCAGTGGAATGGCACTGCAGTTATGCCTTTACATCACAGAAGGGCACAAGTGAGTAAGTCCCCTCATCCTTGCCAGCCCACGCTCCTGCAAGTACAGCTCTGCCAACCAACCCTTCTCCCAGAGATCTGGCTGAGCTGTGCCTCACAGTGCATCCTGTGAAGCACCAACGGACCACACATTTCCCCGGCCCAGGACCATTTGGATTCCAACATTAATCATAACAATAACAGATGGCTGCACGATGTTTGCAGTTAAATTGGTTCAGCTGTGTACATAACCTCTGGAACTGTAAAGTCAACACTGCACCCACTCACAACTAGGGAATAGCTCTTACCTTGATCTGCAGGGAAGAGCCCGGCTTGTTTGAGGCGCTGGATGAGGGGAAAACGCTGCGCAACAGCCTCCTCTTGAGGCTGTTCTCCCGGGATTTGGAGCTGGGGCTGCCCTCCCCCGAGGGCCTGGAGCCGGCTGCTCGCTGGGCCCAGCCCTCCTCCGGGCTCCTCGGCCCGGCGTCGCTGTCCCCCGGCACAGTCGGCACGTGCTGCAGCGCAGGGGTGCGCTGGAGGCAGCTGCCGTCGGCATCCTGGAACTCCGCCGGGCCCAGGGACTGCGCTTTTGTCACCATCCCGTTGGGATGGGACTGGCCTTCCAGCCGGGCTTTGTAGTCCGGCCACATGGTCTGCCTCCGGGCCACCTTGGAGCCACCATTGCAGCTGAGGTAGTTCCCATACTTGTCTGCCCAGTCTGCTTCAGGACTCTGGAGATACATGTCCGGGGGTCTCTCGTCCCCGAGGAGCCCCAGGGACTGGGCTCTCCTCCTGCTGGTGGGGCTCCTGCCCCTCAGGGTGTTCGAGCTGATGGCAGAGAGCTTCTGGATGTCGTTGAGCAGCCCCGAGATGTAGCCTTCCACTTCCACAGTGCTGCCCCGTACCACGGTCTGGGGAAGGTGGGAAACCAGTAAAAAAAATCACAGTTGTAACAATTCAGGCTCAGTTTATCTTGCCAAAAGTTAGATTTTGTTTATATAGCCAAAGAAGACTCAAGGAATTTAGGGGAACAGAATTTTTCCTGCCTATTTCTCATTGTCCTTTACCGAGGGGGGAAAAAAGGAATCCTTGGGTCACACTCTGCTGTCGGAGCAGAAGTGCTGTCAGCCCCAACAGTCAATTCTGCTGCTGTGCTCAGGCTCTAAAAGGCAATATTAGAGCCAACCTGGAATATTTCAACTCTCCTGGCTCTCTTGTGCTGAAACTGTGTGACACTACATCACTAACAGCTCAACAAGCTCCTGAAATATTGGTTCTCAGAAGTTGCAGCATGCTGCAAGCTCCATCTGCAGAACCCATCTTGCTGTTCCAACACAAGGTTCATCTCTCCCCTGAAGCGCTCCCAGTGTTGGAATCAGCCTCCCCCAGTCTGCTTCTCCCCAATTTCTGCTAATGCATCTGCATCCTGAGCAGTGCAGAGCACGCTGTTCCAGCTCTGCATCCCCCTCTGCTCTGCCAAGCCACTCTAATTAAACCCCGCACGCGGGGTCACCACAGCTCACAACTGCCGTGTAAGCACCGGCTGCAGAACAAGGCTTCCATCCAAACAGGCACCAGCTCTGGACAAGTAGGACACTCGAAGCTGTCAATATATTATGTAGTGCTCTACCTTGTTTTTTCTGGAACTGAAAAGCTTACAGAAGCTTTTTTAGCGCTGGGAACCAAAAGGTTCCATTTCTCCACAGAAATTCGCAGCATAGGATCACTCCTACACTTTCATGAATCTCTGCCTGAAGGAAAGTCCTTCCCTGGAGTGACAGCAATCTCCTGTTTGCTAACTGAGCTCCAGGGATCTACTAAACATGCTGTATTAATTACACCAAGCCTAATATTTAGCTGGTGCAACACAGCAGCTCCAGTAATTTCAGCAGAACGCCACCACTGCGCTCCGACGAGCGCCTGGTTTGCTCAGCGTCTGAGAATGAAAGGCACAACACAACATTTCTGTCAAACAAGGTGAGGGAAGGACAACCCCACTCATTCCATGGCACACACACCAGCTGCAGCTGGAAATTCTGGTCTTTACTCCCTCACCACACACACATTCCTCCACGGCCCAGCCACAGCCACGGAACAACGTGCTGGGGACACGGACTTGTTTGACCAAATTGGACAAAAGTCATTCCAGAGAGACTTGTGTGTTCTCAAAATAAGAAGTCTCCAAGAACATGCTGTGGCCTCTCTGGAAAATCCACTCTAGTGCACACCTCCTACTTAGAAACTCCCTAAAATTAGACTCAGGTCACTCCCATTAAGACAGTCCTACCCCCAGTGGACAGGGAAGATGGCACTTAGCCTTGCTTTGCTGCTGTGTATAAAGACTGCATGAGATTAATGAAGAAACATCCACATTTGAGCCAAATCTATCTGGAGTGCTCTTACATAGATCATGCCTTACTGAGCAGAATTGAGAAATTATTTTTAACAAGAACAGCCCCTTTTTATAAGCTACACACAAAAAAGGAACAACTCTGACAGCTGAATCCAGGACTAAGTATAAGGGCTTGGCCAATGAGCACTTAAAAAAAAACTTATTGACTGGTATAATTGAACAGGAATTAATTCAAATGGAGTTTACCCAAAATACTCAACTATGTGATGCAGTCTCAGAGAGTATTTGCACTTGGACTTACTGGGAAAAAAAAACAGTATTAGTTTAAGATTCTCCTCTAGTTCTTAAAGCCTGTTGGGTATTCTGTCCTTGTTCTCTAAAGGCTTTGCACCTCCTTTCAGCTTTTGCCACGCTCAGCTTTAATAAGTCACACATGAAAGTACCAACCAGCATCAGGCTCAGGGCAAACGCCCGGAAATCTCTTCATGCACATTCCTGTTTTGACAGTGATGCCTCACACTGTTTTTGGAGTAACCTTGGCCTAAATGGCTCAGTTTGCTCTGGAAATGCCATTGGTGCAGTGTCAGGAGCCTCACTCAAGTCAAGCTACAGGAGAGTGCTGTCATTTCCCCCAGACTCACGGCCCCACACCCTGGATTGATGGAAATTGGGTTGTTTGACGTGATTTGTTCTTGATAAATCCACACTGGCTGCCAGCTATTACCCTGCTATCTCCTTGGAAGTGGCTGCAAATAGATTACTTGCTTATTTGTTCCACCCTCTTTCTGGGAATAGAAATTATTCTGACTGATCTGCAATTCCTTGAATCTCACTAGGCCCAGCTGACTTGAAAATATGCAACTTCTTAACTAAGTCTCATTTCTGTTCATGTTCTTTTCTTATTCCAGCTTGCATTCCCATCCCTTCATGCTCGTGCTAATTGTGTCAGCCCTCTGAACACACTTAATAAAGGCTGCAGAAAAATCATTAAACACTTAAGAATTCCCGGTGTCATCTGTTATTAACTTTCTTCCAAGATCAGCAGTGAGCAAATTCTTTCCTTCATCCTCCTTCTCCTCAGTGCACTTATGATGTCTCCTTAGTGCCCTTTATGTTCTTTGAGAATAACATCTCTTTTTGTGCCTTGGCCTTCCAGTTTTGTTCCTACATAAATTTCTTTTCTCTTTGCCCTTTATAACTTGACCTAGTTTCCACCCTTCTGAGCAATCCTCCTGCAGTTTAAGCTCATTAAAGAGCTCCTGATCCAACCAAGTTGGTCTCTTATTACACATTTCATCTCTGCTCTGGACTGTGCTCCTATCTCCTACTATATTTTGAACCTCAAAGCACATTCAGTACACCAGGCAATACCTCCTGCCTTTTTCTTTCACCTGTTCTTCCCGAGCAAGTCTTTCCTTTACAAATCAGCATTCTGCTCCAATATCATGTGCCATTTCAGCTGCAGGTCTGATTATGTGTAAAACTTACATTATACCAAATATAGTCCCATTTAGTCCCCATGTTTTTAACACCTACACACAAAAAGCTAAATATATTCATCAGATGGCCAACTCTTTTTTATATCCCTCCTAAAACCCAAGTAGTAACATCTCTATTTGACAACTCACCTTTCAGCTTTTAAGCCCCTGGAGCATTTTTTTTTTTTTTTTAAAGAGAAGAAAAACTTCCCACAAGCTCCCAAGACTTTAAAACCAATGATTCTGTCACTATCATTCATTTTCTGTTCTCACAGCAGGTCCCTGCTCTCACTTACACAGTCTCCAAAGCCAATTCCAGCAGCCAACTGAACCCACCCATCCACCAGAATCACCTGTTTCTGCTTACTGAAGGACTTGCTCTGAGGACATGCTCCTGTTTAATATGTCCTACTTTCCATCAAAATGCTGGTTTAGAAACCCTTTTAGCCCAAACCCTCCTTTAGTCCTTGCTGTCCTCACTTGTCCATGAACAGCAAGCCAGTGCTACCCCACTCTCTCCCACTCAGGCTTCCCTGGCAACTTCATTACCAGCCCAATTTGCTCACCCATGAGAATGACAAACCTGCTAAAGCAGGTCTGTCCCTGAGTTCTCCTCCTCCCTTCCCTGTACAGCAGCTGAACACATCCCAGGTCCTGTCAGCTCCACGGGAGCTTTCCCATGTCCCTGTGTCCACAGTGACAGGCAGCCAAGCTGGTTACTCCAACAGTGGCACCCCTGCAGTTCAGGACACTGCTGTCCCTATTGCTCATGAAGGTACTATCAAAGCCCAGCCCCTGCTCTCCCCTCAGTCCCATACAGATCCCACCCTCAGCCCCACTCTGGGGCAATGGAAATGCTGCAACAGCGAAGAGCCGCCTCCCTCTCTTACCTTCATGGGCTGGAGCTGCATCCTCGTGATCCTCGAAGGATCTACCACTGGCTTGGGGCGCCTCAGCGTGTCCAGAATGTTCTGCCATTGCGGGGGCAGGCCCACAAATTTGCCCTCCTTTGGGTCAAACGAGGTGTGGACACGGTGCTCAAAGTTCTGCGGAGCCGAGATCTCCGGGCGTTTCTTCTTCTTCTTGCGGAACATGACGCCTGCAGGGGGAAGGCAGCGCCGTCAGTGGTCAGTACCTGTCTGCGCCCGCAGCGCCCGCCCGTGCAACCACCGGTCACTTCTGGCAGCTCATTGCACTGCACCAAGGGCACTCTCTGGGGAAAAGCACTTTAACAAGCACTGATCATCCCAGGAGGAAGCAGAGGCACCAACACAGCAAAGACTTGCCCAAGACCACCTGGCAGGTCCATGGCTGAGCTGGGATTTCTACTGACTTCCTTTATTTCTACAAACTCACATTACCTGATATAAGCATTCAAAAACATGTTAGAGATGAGTATTTATATCTTACAGGCTCCTACCTAGGTTAAATGGCTCTGGAGTCCAGCCAGTGAGAGTGTTGATGCCACTACAAGCCTGGAATGAAAGGTGGTTATGAACAGGGCTCAGGTTGTCTTCTCACTGGTTACTGCAAGTAATTAATATCCACTTGGTTCCAATTTAAAGACAACAGAGCTGCTGCCAAAAGAAGATCTGCCCAACACCAACTTTGGATCTCAGTTTTTCTTGCTTAGAGGGCCCGTGAGGGAGAGAGGAGGTGGGAGGTGGAAATCAAACTCTGTCAGCAGGTAGCTGAAGAAGCTAAAATTAAAAACTAAGACTCCTTCCCTTGAGGGCTGAGACAGACAGCTTGTGTGAACAGCCAGTGTAAGTGCAACAAGCCAGAAGCAGCTAACACTGAAATATTCCCAAACACAGGAGACATTCAAAATCTGAATCTAGATTTTATAGCCAAAAAAAGATAGTTAGATAAATAGAAAGCTAAGAGATCAGACCTCTCTGAAATTGGGAAGATATGAAGGAAAAGGAAGAACTGGAGCTCTGTGTGCACAGCCTAGGAAAGGTGGAGGACTGCAAGGGGTGGACACAACCTCTTTGAAGGTCCCTTCTCCTCTGAAATGTTCCGTGATTCCACTGACTGCTTTGGGAAAAAGCTCCACAGGTTTATTAAAGCAATTAAAATCCACCAGTAAAAAATTGTTTATACGCTCTTCCCTTTCCACGGACAACTTGACTGTTGGCATTTGCCTCTCACTAACACTGCTCACAGCAGTGAACAGCTCCTCTTCCTTGACATCAGGCAGAGAGAGCATTTTTGCCACTTCAACTTTGTAGCAGGTCACTCTTCCCCTGTACAGGCCCTCGGCCTCCAACTATTTGTGCTGAACAAATATTTGCAAGGGTCAGAGCCACAGACCACAGCGAGATAACCTTCTGTAGTGGAGACAAGAATACACTTCTAGAGGACACCCATCTCCAAAATCAGCACATCACAGGGAAATCTAGGGCAAACATTTTCCAGGTTGTCCCACTCTAAACTTGTTTAGGGAGCAAAGGGCAGTCACCAGCTGAACTATGACTGATTCCTGGCGCTAGACAGAGGTTCTGAAATCCAATCTACACTGGCTCCCAGTTTGGTCACCATGATCCTGCAGCCACAGGGGTGGGAAGTGTTTGTATGGCACAGAAGGACCTTTACTCCATCTAACACCCCATTCATGCCATCCACCCCTGGTGAAACCCACCCCTCACACTGACACTGGCCACTGCAACACTGCAGCCAGGAGCCCACCAAAGATACCTCACAGTTGGAAAAGAAAACAAAAGGTTAGCAAACTGAAAAAAAACCACAAGAGAGGCTGGAAGCAACTGTTCTGCTTGGAAGAGGTTTCACAGCCAGAATCTAATCTTTGCTCAGAACAAGCTCCAATGAAAACACAAATCCATCTCAGTGGAGAGCTAATGGGAAGGGTGTCTGTGCTCCAGGTCTGGATTGCAGCTCCTCAAACAGTGATTCATCTCTCAGGCCCCTTTGGTGCTACTTATTAACTAAGAATCAAGACTAAGGTCAGAGGGCAATTCTTTAAGGAAAAGAAAAGTGCAGTCAATACCGGAAAGGAAAGATGCTCATGGTGTTAGTACTGCTCAAACCAACAGCTGGAGCTGCTAAGGAGCTTCCCAGCCTCCAAGGAGAACAGGGAGTATCTCTCCAGTATTATAGCAAGTGGTTCAGTTCTGAATCCATAATACATCAGTCATGACTGCTTCTTGATCCACCAGCTCAGGGGTATTTCCAGACACAGAGATATTACTATTTCAACCAGCCTTTTTCCTTCTCCTGCTCCTTCTCTCACAGCTTCATAATGAAAAGATACCCAGGGCATAGCACAGTCTCTTCCAAGTTTGCTCTTTAACTGCTTCAGGTGGCAAAGAGTCTTGTAAAATGGGGTGTTCCAAATGCCACAACCATTAGCACTTGTAGCATCAATGGTTTTCTGAACATGTCAGGCATTTCCCCACAAGGAGAGGGATTCAGGCTGAACTGCTTCAAAATGCAAATTTTTAAAGCCTTTTTTGGCCCCAACCAGAACAGTGGCTCTGTCAGCATCTCAGCTTGCACAGGCACAAACACTGCATTTGTACACTGCCATAAATCCCCATAGCTGTCACTGAGCCCCTGCCCTGCCATCCCAGAGCCCCAAGCCCCCCAAGACCCTGCAAGGAGCAGCTCCAGAGTTCCTGCTCGGTTTTAGGGGACTGGCTGGCATGGCCTGCAAGTGCCTTATTGGCTTATAACAGACATCTCAGAAACAACACAATGTAATCAGCTCCACACACAACACACCCCTGGGCACCCAGTGGCATTTGCTTTACATCTGATTAGAAAGAGATCAGACAGGTGGTTTAAAGGTAAACTGCATTAAGAGCAAATGAAATCCATACACTAAAAATAGTTATTTGAAATATGGATTGTAATAATCTGGGTAGGTTTTGCATTTCATCGAGGAGCTCTGTATTTAACCAGCCTCCTTTCACTTTGTGGTTTTCATGCAAGAGCTATTTATTTTTATTTCCAATACCCAGCTAAAGAATGTTTAAATAAAACACATAAAACCAGGCCTTTTCTCAGTCAGTAAGAAATTCATAAGAACATTTTATGCATATAAAATTTTGTAAATCAAGTCAAACCTGTATTTAAACGTAAACAGCATCCCTTTAATATAACAACACAAATACTGTGACACTGATTTTATAATAATCTACTAGACTTTAGTCTTTCATTCAGTGCTGACAACTGTACTGTAAGAAATGTCACAAACATAAATAATAAAAGTCACTACCACAAGACAAAAGCAGTCGGAGATTGAAATTCTCTCAGCGATCCATTCCTGCTGCCTGGGAAACCACGTTAGGTTTTTCAACTCCAGATATAGCTGTTCCTGGATGATACAGTTCCCAAAGCTGTCACATCTGCCAGTGAGCACGGGAAAAAAAATCCCACAGCCAGCGGATCCAGAGCAGGGGGAGGGATCGGCTGGGAAGGAGGGGCAAGAAGAGAGAAGGGTCAGGCTCAGATGAGAGGAAGGGGTGGGAAGATTAAGGATGGAGGGGGAATGAGAGTTAGGAAGGAGAGAGGAATGGGGGGAGCCAGGCAAGCCCAGGAGCAGGGCACAGAAATGGACCAACCCCACTGATAAAAACAAGTAGCTAAACGTTATGAGAAATGGCTCCTTCCAACGCCCAGCCAAAGGCAGCAGCAGGCACTGGCACTTCACCCGACCTGCCTCCCCCTGCTCCCGGCCAGCCCCCACGCTCCCAGGAGCCAGGGAGCGTGCCCTCCCTCCCTCACACAGGCACTTGATGATAGCAGGGCAGCGCGGAGCTCCTTCAGCCTCGCTCGGGCAGCTCCCCGTTCCAAATAAGCCTTCCCTCCCCTCCCCGCTGCAGCACCGAACTCACTCATCGGCTCCTCGCGCCGCTATCGCGGATCTGGACACAGCTCCCTACATTCCTCCCGCCCGGAGCGGAGGGAACGCTCCGGCCCCGGGCTCAGCAAAGCCAGTCCCATCATTTCCAAGTCCTCCCGCAGCTCATCCGCCAAACTGCTCTGGCCAGCTCCGAGAGGGGAGGGAGAGGAGGAGAACTCTTCCTACAGGACCGGAGGAACTGCAATATGCAGAATGAGTTTGCAGTAGGAAGATGAAGATCGCAGAGAACCCACCAATTAAAAGGAAAAGCCTGTTTCCATGCTCTGCTCCGCAGGTCAGTGTCATGTGCTGCCTCGGGAATGGCTCCCAGGCTAACCAGGCCATTAGCCATGCGTGGCACATGCACACATGTGTGTTCACACCGAGGGAGCTGGCAGGGTGCACGCAGGGAGTTCTGCCACAGCCCAGACCTACAAGCCTCCTGGTTGCCTTCCTGAGCTTTCCCACATCCTTTTTATTTATAAGAGGCCATCGACATTCACAGCAGTTTGCAGACACAGAGAAATGACAGGTTAGGTCCCCGAGGAGCTCACAAACCCAAATGTGACTTCACTCAGCGAGGAATGGCAACAAGGGTCAGTGGAAAGCAAAATGGTCCAAAATCTGAAATGGGATCTAAGAGCACAGCTCTGACTCCACGACACCTTCCTCAATTGGCTGCAATTCTAGTTTTAGAAATACTGGTTGAGGCACTTTTTTCTTCCTAAAGGAGAGTGGCTATTTGCTTGCTGTGCATCCCTTCCCCCCTTCCAATTCCTTTCCTTGCACTCCTCTCCCTCCCCAGCCCCCCATGGCAAAGCTGCGTGTTGGAGCGAAGCAGCAGCACAGCAAACTGATGTAATGCTCTAAATCCTGCCCAAACACACACATGAGAGCACAGATTAATATTACATTAGAAATAAGCTTAGGGAGAGACATATTTGTTAAATTGGTGGGTTTCTTTCTGACAAATGAGAAGAACAACTCAACTCTTTGAGATTTTTTGCCATGCCTCCACTGGGCAGGGTCCTAAGGCTCCAGTGCTGCCTCTTCCTCCCCTGCTCCATTTCCTTGCTCGTAAATTAGGGCTAAAAACTAAAAGCCAGTGAACGCCTATTTGCTCAGCTTGTTTTGGATGCTGCTGGGTGACATATTTTTAGGTGTGTTTTAGCTATACCACACCAAATTCATTCTGGGACCTGTCAAAGCATTTGCATAGGAAAGACCTCTTGAACTTTCCAAAACCAGTGCTGGCATGTCCCAATCGCTAATGGGCTTTCCCTCGACAATAATAAAGTTTTCCCTTATTTACAGGCCCCTAGGAATCCCAGCTGAAGTCACTGTCCCATCGGGCCAGTCTCTGAAGTCAGGCCCCACCCTCCAGAGGTTTCATCTAAACAGACAAAAGGTGAGGAAAAGGAATTATTATCCTCATTTGCAGACTAGACAGAAAAAAAATTACTAGCCCGGTTTCTTCCCAGCTATGTCTAGAACAGCAAATCTAAAAGAGCTCCCAGGTATGTCTCCTGGCCACTTTTTAACTTTCTGTCAAGGCCAGATCCAGACCCAACACACCCTGGCTACAGAGAGAAAACACAGGTGCACGGCCCCAGCAGCAGCCAAGACACACTCTGCCCACAGGTTTGATCTTGACACCAGCACGTAGGTCCAGACACTGTGACAGAGCCCAGCAGCACAGACAGAAACCACACCCAAACCTCAGCTGCAGTCCAGGGCCTTGATTGTTAGACCAGCCTTTCATCCTGGGTTTGGTGTGTGAGAGGGTACAGCCACCAAACCCTGCTTCAGCACCAGAGGAAGTGGCAACTCGTGTCCACCCAGAGCCAGTGGGACATGTGCTGCAGGTCACTGGGCTGAGCCCAAAGCCACGACACCAACTATGACCCTTTTTCCCCACTTAATGTTTGGTATAGCTCTGGCTGCACACCTGCACACCTCACTGATCCCTGTCCCAAGAGCAGCTGCTTTGTTCCACAGGCATTTAATGACATTATTTTGCCACAAAGGATGCATCAGGGTTAAAAACAAGTGACTGTATTTTGCTGTTCATGCAAAACACCAAAGAGCTTCAAGAAAAGGGCTTGAAGGATTCAGGGCTTCAGTTTCCACTGTCTTGTGTGACAGATCCACTCAAAATCAGCATAAAAATACTACCGAGATTAGAGTAAGAACATTTAAGGTTCTGTCTCCAGAAATCCACATGAAGAGACACATCATCTCTGCCAGACGAGAGGTTACGCTGGGACAAGCACAAGGGGCCACATCTGGCAGGCGGGGTCACATGGCAGGGGAAGGAGCCAAGGCGAGGGCTGTGTCTGGGGAACACGCGATGCCACAGCACCGGGCACCACGTCCTGCGGCTCCATCCCAGCGCCCTGCCCCGCCGGGTCCAGCTGCCTCTGGCACGAGGGGTTATGAGAGGGAAGCTGCAGCTCTGTGCTGCCCATGGGCACGGCACAGATCTTACTGTGTGCAGGGAGTCACACGCTCTGAGCAGGGCTGAGCTCCCAGGCAGACCTGCCCCAGCAGAGGCACCGGTGCTCACAGTCCTGGCTCACAATGCTCACTCCAGCAGCACAGCCAGGGGCGGGCAGAGACACCCCAGCGATGTCCCAATCACCCGAATATAGAGATGCAAGAGTTAATCTTCATTCCAACCAACACTAAACCATCTTAGTCCCTGCTTATGCTCATCATGTTCTCCCAAAGTGAGATACAAATATATTTAATTGCTGTCAGCAGCCTGCAAGGCAGTTTGCCTGTGTTATCCCCACAGGATAACTATGGGAAAACTGCAGCCCACGCAGTGTGCCCCAAAACACAGAGGAGACAGACTAGCTCGAACCCCTCAACCTGGCTGACTCTCAGTGCCTTCCTGCTCACTGCTGCCAATACTGAGATGGAAACAAATCGTAACAGACAAGTCTTCTCCCAGGGAATATCGGTTCTCCTGCTCTGTTTGCAAAGGGCAGACCTGCCATGAGTGCAAGTGCTAACACAGCCTCAGTAAAAACCAGGTTAAAACCTGAGGTGCACTCGGAACACCACACAAATAACTGGCATTGGCTACAGCTGTATTCTGTTCATCAATTAATTACAAAATAATCCATTTACTAACACTACAAGTAAAATGGCTCAGCCCTGGGGAAAATGTAATTTCCTGAGATATTTCTGAGGGAAATAGAGTTCGACTTTTAGTCTTTGTGCACTCTCCATCCCCCTTGCTCTCTTTTGGCAGCCGAATGGAAAATCAATCTCAGAACGACAGCATTGGCACTAATGACCCCATCTCAGTGCATTAGTCCTCAAGCTACAGGGTAATCCTGCAACTTTAAACCAGATTGAGAAATTCCCTAAAAACATCCAAGTCTCCCTTGCACTGAGTCTATGCAATTATAACTCAAAGGCAGGGGACTAGTGCAGGGGCAGTACCACAGACAAGTCCTGCCCAGGTACAGAACTCTTGTGCTGCTCCCATTGGGATGGAACTTGAGCACCATATCCCTGCTGGTACCCAAGAACACAGTCTGGGTAATACAGAGCTCAGGGCCTGGCTGAGCTTTTACTTGCAGTTGGGCTAAGCTAGTCCAAGCTGTTTTAACCAGTTTTCTTTAAAGCAGTTTGCACAAACATTTAGCTCTTTTCTCTCCTTCTAAATTTCCCTAAGCACATTAGGGAAGTAGGTTAAAAAGAGCTCTTTTTTCCTCATTGGAGGCAGGACAGCCAAACTTTTAAGGAATTCTCCTTAATTAATTTAATTCTCCTTGGGAATGAAAACCATTTTGTGACCAAAGAAGGGTTATGTTTCTCACTTTTGCAAGCAGCAGGACCCAGAGTGTCCTTCCCAGGTACATCCACGCTTGCACCCATCTAGACAGAAAAAAACCCCTGTGCATGGAGCAGGCTTTCCACCTGGGAGCACAGTTACTAATCCAGCCAGCTATCTGCTTGGCCACTGTTTGGTCAGCTTTGCTACTGGGTACAAAAGCCATTGCTCCCACAGCACACACCATGTCCATACCAAGGCAGCACGGAATATCAACATCAATATACAGCTTCATCACACTTCAGGAATGAGACTTTCCAGTGGGACAGGGCTGGAGGGAGAGTCAGGCAGCAGGTTCCCTTCCCCAGCAGCTGTGTAAGGGCTGACTCAGGTTTTACCCAAGCACAGAACTCAGAAATGCAGGGGAAGACTCAGCAAATGTCTCTTACTCTACATACATCCCCCAGCCTCACCCAAGAGCTTGCACTCACCACAAATTTCTCTTCTGTTTTTCAGTGCTCTGTCCCCAAATGCATTAAAGCACTAGTGTCCTGGCAAAGAAGAAAGCAAAGATTAATGGACAGGACTGGTTTCTGTCACTGCACATACCTGGCCGTATAGTTGGTTACCACCTGACAAAAATAATTAAGTACAAATGCCCAATAGAATCGTAGATTGTAACTTAAATAGGAGGAGATTACCCAGCTTCCAGCCAGCCAAAACACGCTCACACCCAGCCCCACACGAGTACTACAGCGTGGCTTCAGCAGGAGTGCTGGGAGGATCCTGGCCAGCACAGCAGCCCGAGGTTGGGAGTACACACAGGAAGGTTTGACTGGACCTCTCCGTAAGGTACACTGAGGGTCCTTGCAGATACCACAGACTTCAGAGCAGACGTTGCTCTGTCTCCCGTAAAGGCAACGAGCTGCATGTTCCTGACATGCTGCCTGCTCTCTCGAGCATCATCCAGAGCAATTCTTAACCCCTTCTTCATCCCAAGGTTTTAAGAGCATCACCCTTCTCAGATTCAACAAGGCATTTTCCCTGCTGCACTCCCCATCCCTTGAGTGCCAGTCGGCTGAATCACCAGACCCCAACACCACAGCCCCACACCTCGTCCCACCTAAAAGAACCTGAGAAGCAAAAAACACAAGATCTTACTGGCAGTCCTGTTGCAACAATGCTGGTGGTGGACAATTCCAAGGGAGAGGAGCAAGAAGGGTCTGGAGGCAAACTCTCCCACTGTCATGCAGCAAAGCCGATTGGAGGACAGTGTTGCTGGGCTATAGGAGCAAAGATGAAGTAAACTCCTTCGCAAAGGAATCCAGCTCCCGGTTTTTCTTCCCGTTCAGAACCATCCCTTGAGAGAAAAAACTGTATGACCCCTCGAACTATTCTGCTCTCCCTTCGCCTCAGGCTGGCACTGCCAACACACGTGGGATCGTTACACCGATCCGTGGCACGGCTCAGCTCCGAAGGGAAGGGGTTAAGCCAAGGCAGCACAGCCACTGGGGAGTGGAGACGTTAGTTCAAACTGACAAACCCAGTCCTCTGTAAACACAGGGCACAAATCCCACAGAACAGCGGCCATTAGGATGGCTGTTATGGCTTTAGAGCAAGCAAGTCAACGTCCATGCCCAAATCTGCGGGAGGGCACTTACCCCTGACTCCTCATTGCTCTGTGCCCAGAGGTGAGGTGGGAATGCTCCGCCACCAGAATCCGCTGACACGCCGATAAACTTGAGAGAGAAAGACGGCAGGAAAAAGCGGGAGTAGAAAAAGGGGTGGAGGCAAGTCTGACATGTTTGTACAGTGCCTGGTGCACCTAAGCTGCCGAGTTTGATTTCAGGGTGTGGTAGCAGATGGGACACAGAAGCATTCGGCACAGAGAAGCCTCGGAAAACGACATATGCTGAAAGCAGAGCCTCCTGGGACCATCTCACCTTCTCCTCTTTGTCTTCTTTCTTGGTCCCTAGAGGGAATGAGAGAGAAAGAGCTCAGAGTCACACCTGGGCACCCAGTTGTGCTGGGTATTGGGCAAGAACCTTGGGGAGATCCTTTCCCATTCCCCTCCGCCCTTCTTCACCGCCCCGCTCCACTGTGACTTATTAAAGCTCCGCTCCTTGGCTCTTCTCTCTCGGCTCCACAGCCTTGGGGCCAGGAGCTGCTACAGCTCCTAAAGAACCCGCCATCTCGCCCTGTGTTTCAGGACCTGCCACCAATCCCTTGTCTTTCCTGGCAGGAAAGCTTGCATTGCCAGCTCTATGGCTGGCTGTAGAAGAATTCACCCCATTGATTTGCATTGCAGATGAGCAGCACATGACCTGGTGCTTTTCCTTTTGCCCTGTCCTACCGCGAGTGAGTCAGTGCTGCCGGCTCTGGAGTCTGGGATCACCCTCCCATCCCGTTGTGCCTCTGGGTTTCCTGACTCCTGGAAATACTTTCCCCAAATGACTCACGCCCAGCAGGACACCAGCTCCACCACCAGCAGCCTCGGACACAGACACACACAGACACGTAGGTGAAAGGGGCAGAGGGGACAGCGCAGGAGAGGTCAGAGTTCCTGTCAGCAAACCTATCAGCTGCTCTTGCTCCACTGCAAATTGAGAGGCTTCTTGGCCTCTCCAAACCACTAACAATCTTGGCTTAACCCTCAGGTGTTTTTAGGTCCAAAGACCAGAGATAAAAGCCATAAAAATCCACTCCCATGACTTTTTAGGGGTTTGTTTTGGGGTGGGTTTTTCTTGGGGGGGCCTGGTTGTTTGATTTTTGAACTGCCCTTAAAATAAATAACTGACATGGTACAAACAATCATTAGGCTGTCATCATTATTGCTGGGAGTGGCTTGTCCAGCAGAGATGGGCCAGCCCAGTGACCTTTTAGCCTTGTTCCTTCATTCCCATTTCTTTTCCTACCTCTCCATCCCACCTCAAAAGGCTGCAGTATGTTTGTACAACAACCAGGGTCACAGAGGTAGTTGGGATTCACCAGCTCTATGGGGACTATAATGGAGAAAAGAATTCATAGAGAGAACCTAAAGGTAATCCCGGCAGTGGAGCTGATGGTCTGAGGTTCCTAATCCTCATTTCCAGACCTGCCAGCTAAGCTGTGGAAGGGCTGCTTCCTGAGCGTGCAGTCACCACTTCGATGTTCCACTGCAGGTCCCTGCCTGCCACAGCCTGCCACAGAGACCTGAGCTTCCTGCCTGCTCCCTCCCTAGGATGCAGGAAATACTTAGCCAGGTTCCTTTCTGTCTGGGGATTAGCTCCTCCAGGGCAGGCCCCGTACCCAGATGTAATCAAAAAATGAAAGTTCCTGTTAAAAGTAAAGGATAGTGAATACCAGAGGGGACAGCATTCTTTCCCAAAAGGCTGGAACTCCACGGCAGAGCAGCGCGGTGGAGGATCAGAGGGGAGGAAGCTGAGGTGATCCTGGGAGGTGCGGAAGGAACGCGTCAGGGAGCACAAACTGTCCCTGTCATCTGTGCACCAGGGCTTTGCTGCTGTGCCAGGCACAGAGGAGTCACCCACAGCACCAGGGCGTTGGGAGCGCCACAGACAAATGGCATTTACAGTCTCCAAGGAGTCACCCAGGCTTGGAGCTGGCTCCAGATTTGCATGAGGATTGTATTTCCTGGGTTATGTGCTGAGACAGTCTTCTAGAACAAGAGAAGTTCTTTATAAATGGAAGAGCCTGATTTTACTTGTCAAGACACAAGCTTAGATGAAACCAAGGCAGCTCTGAGTCGGTGTGAACCTCTGCTGCCTACAATCTTAATGAAAAATTAGGACACTTTCCAGTCTTTCTATTCACACTTTGGTCCCAGCAGTCCTACACACTTTGAAGAAAAATTTCCCAGTAAAAGCGACGCACCTCTAATTTTCCCCTTCAGCAACTGTTCCTTTATTACACATTTCACTGCTCCTTGCCTGCACACTGCTCCCTTCTTACCTAGAGAATTGCACAAGACAATATAAATAATTATACCGGTCCATGTCTATAAACACAGACCTCCACGCCCCACTCCTCCTACGGCTGCTCTGTGCTGCTCCTCCAGGCCTGGCAGCACAATGCTGCAGGCTACGCTGACTAAAGGCTTGCATCGAGGCCTGCCTGATTTATCTGCCAGCAAAGGCCCTTCCGTGCTCCCTGTCCCCTCCCCAGACACAAAGCAAAGCCGGTGTCAGATCCCAAGTGCTGATCTCAGCTCGCTCCTCACCCTGCCCAGTCACGTCACTGCGCCGGGAGAGCTCCGGGACCTCACGTCCTGCACTGCTGCAGTAGGTTCCATTGAATCCCTGTCCATCTCTACTAGAACACACTTTCGTGAGGAAAAAAACCACTATTCAATGTTTTCCTATTCCAATAGGCAAGACTGGGCACTTCTAAACTTCAAAAGTAAAAAGTCAGAAACACACAGGCCAACTCTACCAGGCCAACTCTCTTTCTTCTACCTCAGCCAGGAGTAATGTACCTGCCCACCTGTCTGGAGCCTGTGGGAACTGGGAAAACTGCTAAGGAAAACTTATTTTTATTCAACAAAGGTTCCGGGAGAAGCCTAACACTAAGGAACAGGAAATCTGATACACTCAGGAAGTCCCAATAAGAACTACAGCAATTCCACCCACAGAGCCAGACCTTCCATCAGGGCTCCACTGAGCTCAGGGATTTTATAGGGGGCACAAATGCTCTTCCACAAAGAATCCCTTTCCTCCTCTCTTTCATGGCTCTGCAAATCCAGAATAAGCTGGTCAGGGAAGTGAACAAAATACACCAAGGATGGGGCCAGAGGGGTCACTAGGAGAAGAGCTGTGTTGCAAATTCACACATCAGCACCAGCTGGTGGGAGGAAGCTAGAGATAGGAATCAAGTCTGGGAGTCTCATAATCACCACATGCCATTAGCCAGGGCTGGAGATAAGGAGGGAGCAATCCAGAGGCAGTTTCGCTTTAACTGAGTGCTCACAGCTCAGCCACCTTCCCCCAAGGCTGTCGGTTCAGAGGGGGGCAGGAGGTGCCAGGAGAGCTGCCTGCATGGCCAAGGCTGGGGTTATCCTCCTGCTCACTATGCATTGCTGCCCTTGTCCAGGGAGTGTCCAGAGATCCCAGCAGGACAAAGCCCTTCCGGCACTCCCACCACAGAGCTCACCCCGTGTGCTTGTAAACTCTCCAAGGTTTACAGTCTAAACCAGGTGGCATTTTTTTCCAGTTCCAAACAAAACACAAATGCACCAGAGCTGAAGAGATGGAAGTTGGTTTAGCCAGAGCACACTCAAATCTGCCAGGGCAGTGGGGAGCTTGGAGTCCCTCTTCACCATATGCACATTCCAAACACAATCAGCCTGGGTCACATGGACAAAGGAAATTTGTGCTGCTTCAGGCTCTCCTTGGGTTACAGCCAGGTTCTCCTGGGCCAAGCAACTCCAATGGTGGAACAAAGCACAGCCAGCAAGGAAACAGCACAAGGAAATTCTGCCAAACTGAGAACACCAGAGGCAAGAATCACAGAGTCCTAAAGGTTGGTTGGAGAAGACCTCCAAGATCATGGATTCCACCCTTCGACCCAGCACCACCTTGTCACCCAGCCCAGAGCACTGAGTGCCATGTCCAGCCGTTTCTTGCACACCTCCAGGGCTGGGGACTCCACCACCTCCAGCCCCTTCTGATGCCTGACCACCCTCTCCATTAAGTGAAGAAAGCAGGTTAAGCTTAAAGAGAGTAAGGAAACAGCAGACTTTAAAAATGTCAACTCCCGCTCTGGTGAGAAGTTGAAGTTAAAGCCCAAGAAGATCACCTGAACAACAGCACAGGCTATTTTGCTACTGGTTAAATTCCTGTGGCTTGGTAGACGTTCCCTGCAGATAAAATCAATACAGCTTGGATCACAGCCACCTCACACCTCTTCCAGATCTTTTACTTGCAAAAACTGCACACACTCATTTGGTTATTACAGAAGTAACGTCACGCTCCACCAGACAAGCCTGTGCCACCCTCTACAAAAGGTGCATCTGCTGCTTCCCACAGAAGTCAGGACGATCAGTCCTGCAATGGCAGCATCCCAGCAGAAAGCCGGCGTTGCCTACAGATTCCCAGGTCACCTTGGGAAAGTCACTCTGCAGGCTGGTAAAACGACTGTGACAATGCTCAACTCCCCCACAACAGAGGCGGCTTAATCTGTTGTTTTTCCAAGCAAGCTACGATCCTTGAGGATGCTATAGAAATGCAGATTGAAATCCCTGGCTGGCAGCACAGGAGCACAGACCCAGCCTCTGTCCCCAATAACTAGGTCAGTCAGCTATCACTCCAGAATTAACCAGAATCCAGCAAATTCCTGGTGGCCAAAATAACGGCAGCACAAGTCTAACACCCTGTGCTGACATTACTCACCCTCTACCTCTGGGTACATTCGAACCCAACTCTCAAGAGCTTAGAATAATTGGAGGGTTGGAGCTTATGCTTGTCAAAATCCAGGCACGTGGCTCCATGCAGCACAGGTTTCCCATCCCACTTGCTTGTGGAGGCAGGGAACAACTCAGCCTTAGGCAGCTGAAGGCATTCAGCCCACCTCAGGAAAATCAGGAAGCTGCACTGCTAATCCCGTGCCAGGGAACGGGTGTCACAGCCCCTCCCAGCAGCAGCCCCCTGGACAGCAGGGGCAGAAGGGGCCCTTGCCCTCCAGTGCTGTATGGGAGCTTATCTGGGGGGAAGGCTGGTAGAGGCAGGGCAGCTGTTGGAATAGAATCCGAGGAAGAGAAGAAAGGAAAGGGTGATTATTGCGATGGGGATGAGTATCCAAAATGCATCTCAACCCCCTGCCAGGGGATGAGTATTCAAAACTTACTTCAACCCTCTCCAGCTGCCAAGGCTGGACCAAGCACTGGCTTTCCTCTCACTGGAAAGGAGATGGGTGAAGAGTTAAACGTGTGGGGGGGATGTTATTATTATTACTATTATTTATTTTCAGGCTCTGTTT